CAGTTACCACTACTGTGCATGTGTGTCAAGGACAGAAAGGCAGATGTGGCAGTGGAAGGTGTCAAAGCAGTTTGGAGAGAAAAACAAAGTAAAGAACAAAAAAAACATCAATCGATTATTAAATTAGTCATCGATTATTTTAATAATCAGTCGTCAATTAATCAATTAATCGTTGCAGCCCTAATCTTTGGGGTTGTATAACATTTTAACAAGGGTCAGATTTGGCCCAGTGGGCCTCCAGTTTGACGTGTGTTCTAGAGCTATGTGATATCTTGTGATATTTCATGAGAACAGACATAATGTTATTTTCAAGGTTTGACCAAAACAGCTATAATRYTTTCTTAACATAAGATGRYCTTAGTTTAAAACATGRATATACAAAGCAGTGTGCTATATGCATTCACTAAAAATGTACAGGGCTCGGCACACCGTCATTTACAAGCAGTAGTCGAGCATGCATTGTTAACCCTAACAGGTTTATATTTATTTTTGAGCAGAAACTTGTCAATGTAGCCATGCTGCATCTTTGCRGTAGTAGAGGTAGTGTTCAGACGCCACAAGCCACAGCTGCCAGGAAACACTTGTTTGATCCACACGTGTTCTGGTGCAAAGGGGATGTTGTGACTAAATTAGCAATGGTAGTGAACAGATTGTATTGTTTTAAAGTCAGTCTCTGTGTGTTTTCCAAAGTTTTTCGACCTCTGTGCCTAGAAAATCATGAGCATGTGACCCTCGCTTCAGACCTGAGACGTTTATTAGATTAAGAGGGGGCCAGTCTAAAGAGGGTCAGGATGTGCTCCGACACGCCTTCGGCCTGTTTACAGCTTTCCGCCTCACTAGATCCACACGCACAGGCTCAACCATGGCCACTCAGCTGCTTCATAAACAAGACAGARACACTGATCCCAGATGAGGAAATCAGGCTCTTGGCTTCCAGAATGCTGAGGCAGATCAGTGATCAGGCACCGAAAGGGGAACAAGCTGTATRCATTTGTTTTCAATGGCTGGAAGTTACATGCGGTCACAGCTGAGGAAAAATACTGCTGAAAAGAAACATTCATTTACAATTCACCAGTCGTTATGAATCAAATCAGGAATGAATATTTTCCTAAAACTGATTGCCTCTGAAATTGTTTGCTGCTGTTAGACTGATGCCAAGAACCTGTGAAGTAGGAATGTAAAAAATGTGAGGGTTTGTGTTTCAGGAAGCATTTTATGAAAWTAAAAACTAGTTTCTGGAGAAGTCAGAACTTTGGAGTAAGCAGTGTCAATTGTCTTTGACTTAGATTTCTCAGCTGTCATACTACCTTTTATTTTCAAAAAACATATTCAAGCTTGGTAAATATTCAAATCATTTAGTGAGCAATAGTGTGACACATCTCATCAATCTAAACAAATCTTTACTAGTACTAGTTTTTTTTTACTAGCATTCCTGTGTACATTACTTTGTTTTTGTTGAAAGGTAAGATGTTCTAGTAA